AGCTTAGGGACTCTGGTAGTCCAATCCTCTCCAGATCCAACAGTTTCCCTCTCAAGGCTTTAACCAAGAACCCTCAAGGTACAAATCTGAAACTGTCAAGAATCAAACTCCTATGCGCAACGCTAACTGAACTGTCTCTCACGCAGACTCCGGTGAACCAGTTCCCCAGGCCTGAACCAGAACCAGTCAATCTCTCTGTGCTTGTGACAATAAACTCTGTTAAACCTTTTACTCCAGTTTCCGTCTCAGTGGTGTTCTGCATTATTGGGTCACACCAGTGAACCCATCATGACACTACTGCTATAGCCAGATGGGGAACACTCATTTTTATTCCATTTTAAGCCTTTGTATATGTTTGGGCAGGCAGGGGGAAGCATGTTGGCTTCTGTCACTCCATTCCCAGCTGGCTCTGGACCGGAACCAGCTCTGGAGCTGATGGCTCGGTTCAAATGCCCGGTCCAGTCCAGTCAGTGGCCCAGCAGCCCCCCATAGAGTGTCCTCCTTTTCAGAAACCTAAATCTGGTCACCCTATTTAGAGAAATGTTTACAGCCAAGTTAAGCTAGCGACAATTTGCATATTAGATTTGTTTTTGTTCAAGCTTTTTTCTGGCCTCAATGGCTGATACTAAATGGAGATACTAAGACTTCCTGCACAAAGACAGAAGGATTGATTTTGTTTATACATTATCAGCATCTCTGGCGAGTGTGATATATTTTATTTGTATGCTGTTTTATCTGGTACAGTAGTTAGATGCATATTGAAAGTGAATGGCTACTAATGATGTAAATATGGCGGAACTGCAGTTAAAGAGCAACGGTTTGCGGTTGTCTTAGCTGGGCTTCATTGACTCTCAATCTAATCTTCCTCTCGGTTATACCTGCGCTTGTTGCATTTAATATTTGGAGGTTTCTTTTATTAAATTGTGAAAGTGGCAATATTACCCATTTGACACCCATCAGCAAATATGCAATATATTAGGGGTAACCAATTAAAGATCAGCGGGGTCCGAATAAAGAAAATCAACAACCAGTAAAGGTCCGATATGTTTTTAATCATAATCTGTTACTTTAAACAGAATTTAACTCTGAAATAATATGTAGGTGTTTATGCATCCATGTTATACGCTGCATTTTCAAATCGAAACATATAAAAAAAAAAAATAGAAAACTTTTCCATATTAAAATCTAGATTGTTTTTGAAGTAGAGAACAATAATCTTTTAGTTTGGTATATAGACAATTGTTTGACTCACTTTTTAAAAAAAACACCTGAACTGACCATTTTTTCTTTGTTGTTTCTGTCTTAATGAGAGCAGTGGGCTTTAGGCTGCCCTGCAAGGCTTTAAACCTGGGTTTGAATGGAGACAAAGCCATTCTAAAGCACATATCAAGGTGCTCATTTTGAGCCTGGATCCATATTTATTTTTGATTCTGTTCATGGTGGAGAATCCTGCTTCACAGCAGCAGGTTGAGCCAAACATACTATAAATGTTCAGGGTCATCTTTGAGCACCATTTCACTTTTCTTTCACCAGTTCACCACAGTTCTTCCAGCAGTCCACACTTTCTCTGCTCTCTTTTTCTCATCATATTCTCCTTCTTTCCCATCGCCCGGCTTGCCACAGGTTTGCCTGCTGTGTCTAAAAGTAGCAGCAGCAGCAACCCAGACTGACAGCAGCTCATTGGATAATTTGGATCCGTGCCGCCTGGTGCTGGACATTATGGTGGGCTTTACCGTACAGTACAAACAGGAAAAGTGTCACAAGTGAAATTAGACACTGTCATCAGACAACATTCGGTAATTTATATATGTTTTAAATCAGGTTGGGTCAGGATTAGCCAGCGGGTGCCTCCGGCTCCGGATCCGGACCGCCCTCTGCTTATCCGTTACCTCTGCTTTAAACCCTTTGTATTACCAAGACAGTGTGTGCATTCCCTCATTGCCAGTTATTACACATTCAGAGAACAGGAATCTTTGGCAAGCTCTTGTTTCTGTTAAAATTGGTTCCTAACAGTTCATATATATATATATAAAAGTTGAGTGGTGCCCACTGAAGGCCCAGGTACCAATGCATTGCACATCACTGCTGCCAACACTATTCAAATGGTGCTAATTCTGGGGACTGCAGACGTACCTCTGCAACGTCTTAACTGCTCTTACTGAGGTATTCTATTGAGCCACAGAGTCCTGCCTTCAGAAGAAAGAGAGAGGTTAGAGGTCTTCAAAATAAAAGCAGAGGTATTACAGAAACAAAACAAACTTCCTGCCACCCAGAGTAAGCATGTTCCTCACCTTAGTGAGGAGGAGGCTTTACAGAACCCACAAGACATGATAAGTTTAGAGTCAAGGAGGATTTAGATTTGGTTACTCTAAAAGTGTACCCCTGTAATACAGAAAGACCCCCCCTACACAGACGGACATTTGATAAAGAAAAACCAGATGCTCACATGTTGAACAAGTTTTCAAGACTTTAATTAATTGGTCTGAAGTATATACATTGACATGCATTGTGAAATAAAGAAAATTTTATTACATACATATAATTCTGCTATTCTGCTTTTCATTGTAAAATGGTGGTTTCAATTCTTGCATCCAAAAAAATATTTAGGGTAAAAATAGTTTTACATGTGCTGAGCAAGAGGTACACTTAAAGAGGACAGTAAGATGAGTTAAGAGTTGTAGACCTTTACTTTAAAATGCCCTGCTGGACGTCATCATAGGTGAAAAATAAACATGCTATCTGTTCAATTTCAGATTTTTCTCCACACTCCATCAGACAAGCAAACAAACCATCCTCCATGTAAGCTAGGTCAGAGTAACCACTGGGTCCTGGATTAATGACCCAGGGTTTACTCCATTCACCAGGATCTTGTGAGGAGTTGTGCAGATAGATCCCTAAATCCACTCTTTTACTCTGACTGGTTGGGTGAGAGTAAAGCAGCCACAGAGGAGCTGGATTTAACCCGCTTTCCTCAGGTTGAGCTGGAAAGGAAACCACGCTGCCCTGGCAGCCTGTACCTGTTTGCACAAGCTTGGAAGTGACTTTCCTGAAACTATCTTCACAATCTTTAGCAACTGCTTCCACCCGTAAGCCTCCCCAGCTTCGAGCATTGCAGTAGATTAACCTCTCACCTTGCTCATCAGATATCTCAGCTATTTCACATTCAAGTGATGTTTCTTCAAGCATTTTCCCATTTTTCAAACTCTTCTCATCATTATCACTGTAAATTATCAGCGCATGGGGAGGAGGGCAGCAATAATTTGTACAACCAAATGGGCCACACCAACAAAATAAAGTAGCCAGGCATCTACGGCCACCTTCACAACAGCTGCAACAGGAAGGATAAGCATAAGCAGGAACAATCAGTCTGCCAGTCTCGGTTTGAACGCCATGGCCCGGACCAACAGCAAATGTTGCCCAATTCTTTACTTGAGAAAGGTTGTCAGTCAGCTCAGTGATATCGTTCCAGGTTTTACCGCCATCCTTGGTTGAAATGAAGAACAGAGAGGCTTTATTGATGCCCCAAAAAATCTGTCCTGCCTCTGGGATAATTCCTTCAACCCCGATGACAAACAGATAAAGCGTGTGGCTTTTCTTGGCGTAGATCGGGCAAGGGTTCATCGGGCGTTTTCCTTTGAGATTTTTCTTCGTCACAATTTCTTTAGACTCTGACCACTTAAACGGAAATAATCACACATCAGATATTAGCTTTTTTGAATGAACTATATTTGTGCAGAAAAGAAAAACAAAAAAGGTGAAAAACTAATTTTGTTATTACTTACTTTCACCGAGTTCTCTTCTCTGTTCAGGTTTCCAGTTTTCATGAGTTTTCTCTTTATTGTCAAATACGAGAGCGGGGATCCTGTAAACCTCTTCATGTTTTGAGAGAAAAACTGTTGTTTTCTCTATCTTTGGTTTTTCTATACTTGAACCGCTGCTCCCCATGTTTTAATGGCTGTAAGTAGATAGAGGAAGAAGGGTCACACTGTTGGTGCCCGCCTTTATCAGTGCTGGTGGCAGGGTGTGGAATTGTATGGCCTATGGGAGCAAACTTGCTGGGATTTCTTTTGTTAGTTTTTTTTTTAATGAAAAAAGCTTGTTAGCTTGTTGAAGAATATTTTACACATTTTTTGTAGCGTAGAAACAAACAAACAAAAAAAGAGTATATATTGTGAATTCTTAAGGTACATCTGCCTTTAACTCTAATTCCAAAAGAATCTTATGAATAAAAATAGGTCCTAGATCCTTAAAGTTGAAGATTTCTCCAAGAATAATAAGTCATTTTATCTTTACCAGTAAGGTTAAGTATAGCTCTTATGCCCTTTTTGTATTAAAATTGAACAATTTATTTAGAAACAAGAACAGGCAAAACTACGTCCCCTAAACTGAGGAACTCCCACACCCCAGTCCATTCTTTCATTTACTGACATTACTGACATTATTGAAGGTGAAAACAAAACAAAAACGTCCTGATAGAGCACACTTTGACAGATCTATTTCTCCTGCTAAAACACTAAGATCTCAAGTTACTGCCTGATGGGGACATCATGTGGTCAACTTGTGATTCTGACCCCCCAGCACATAATCTAAAAAAGAAATCCAGAAATCAGTATCTATGATTTTTTATATATTAATTTCTATGATACATTTGCAAATAAGTATGTGAACACCTGTTTATCAGCTAGAATTCTGACCCTCAAAGACCTGTTGGTCTGTCTTCAAAATGTCCACCTATGTTCCATTTATTATCCTAAATTAGATGCACCTGTTTAAGGTCATTATCTGCACAAAGGCACCTGTCCACCCCAAAAAATCAGACTACTGACATGGCTGAGACCAAAGAGCTGTCCGAAGACACTAGAGATGCTTCAACAATCCCCAGAGTTCATAAAGCTTCAAGTGAACATGTCACCATCTACTGGTGGAGTGCAGAACTACACTTAATAATATAATCTGATTTTTGCAATGGTTTTTCTTGTTTTATTTCCATTTAAATTCCTTTGATATAGTTCATGATTTCTTGTGAATAATAGCCTACATTCTTTTGTAAGTTTTTTTTGTGCGTAAAAAGTCTTAGAGGAGAACGTCTTTAAAGGTACACCGTTCATCCATCCATTTTCCATCACACTTATCGAAAAGCGGGGTCATGAGGAGCACTGGTGCCTATCTCCAGCTGTCTACAGGCGAGAGGCGGGGTACACCCTGGACAGGTCATCAGTGTATCGCAGGGCAACATAGAGACAAACAGGACAAACAACCATTCAGGAACACACTCACACCTAAGGGGAGTTTAGAGAAGCCAATTCACCTAACAGTCATGTTTTTGGACTGTGAGAGAAAACCAGAGTACCTGGAGAGACCCCAAGCATGCAAACTCCATGCAGAAAGACCCGGGGCCTGAATTGACCCCAGATGCGTCTTGCAGCAAGGCAGCAGTGCTACCCACTTCTCAACTGAGCAGGTTTTTCTGTTATTTTCGTGACATACGCTCAAGCAGACAGTGTTTGTGCATGTCAGGATGAGCAAAATGAAAGGTGCTTGTTATTTTTAATTAATAGTTTTTTCACAGTTTTTGGTTTTAATCTGGTTGGAAGTTATGTCTCCAACCAATCTTTTGATTAAACCAACCAATCTAATTTGGAAGTGTTTTTACCCAATCTTTATTGGTAAAAGGGAAAACCAATAGAAATAGGTCACTTAGGCCAAAACATTGGTTAAGCAGTACAGCAACTTTCTAAACTTATACGAAGTCTCAAACACACAATCAAACACCAGCTGAATGGCAGCGAAATTCCCTGAAACTCCCAGCAAAATCCCATCCAACTTCCACTCAATGGACTGACACCCTCCTTCTCCTGGGCAAGCATATTTTTTTAACTCCAACTCCCCCCTTTCACTGAATTACAGGCTCTGACCAGGAGATGGCACTACTCTTTAGCTCTTAATGTCCAAAACTCATGACAGAAAGAATATTTTAGCTTAAAGATTAATCTTTAAAAAATAATTTTAGGGGACCAGCCAAGGACCCATCAAGGAAAGTGGTAAATTTTTGACTGAATACTGTGCCTGTTTAAATGCCTTTGGAAGTTCTGGACGGAACTTGGCGATAGTGGGCTTCAGATGTCATCAAATACAGCCCCTACACTAAATGAAGCAAGCCTTGATACGTGCTTCACAGAAACGCCACCTCCACTACTCAAACACACGCCTCTGAGCCTTGGCTGATCTCATAACATCACTAGCTACAGGGAAACTACCAGGCATCTTGGTGAAACAATGTTGGAGCAATCATTAGAATATGAAAGAAGCTAAAGTTGACTATCAATCTCCCTCAGACTGGGGCTCCATGCAAGATCTCACCTCGTGGGATCTCAATGATCCTAGCAAAGGTGAAAAATTAGCCCAAAACTACAGGGGAGGAGCTGGTCAATGACGTTAAAAGAGCTGGGACCACCGTTTCCATGGTTACTGTTGGTAAGACACTAAGAGGTCCATGGTTTGGAGGGAGCTCAAACTCCATGTTTCTCAGCGACAGCCCAGAAACATGGCTGATATAGAGAAGATCTGTGAGGAGGAGTGGGCCAAAATCCCTCCTGAAGTTTGTGCAGACCTGGTGAAAAACTTCAGGAAACCTTTGACCTCTGTAATTGAAAACAAAGGCTACTGTACCAAATATTATCATTGATTTTCTCAGATGTTCAAATACTTCTTTGCAGCTGTATCATACAAATAAATAGTTAGAAAAATCAGACACTGTGATTATGATTCACACCCCTCCATGACTTATAAGTGTGAGAACTTGCAAAATATTTTGTGTATTTATTGCATTTTGTATGTACTTCTATGTCCTCAAACTCCACTCAAGGCTGCTCAGACTGAGCCTGGTTCTGATGCAGGTTTCTTCCTGCTGAAAGGGAGTTTTTCCTCTCCATTGTCGCTACAAGCATGTTTGGTGTGAGGGATTGCTGAAGAGTCAACGACAAAATGCAAGCGAAAATCATCACTGCGACCTCATTCAGGAGGAACGTCTCAAGTCAATGACTCGATGCATTCAACTGGTTTTCTTTGATAGAAACATTTCACCAATCTGTAAAGTGTCATGAAATAACATGTGTTGTGAATTTTTGCTATATAAATAAACAGCAATGTACAGAATTGAGTGAAGAGTGAACATTTTTGTTTTGCCTGACTTACTGTACAGATCTGTATCTTTAAATAACCAAATAAGATTTAAAGATATCTAACAGGGTGACTGGTGTGGAAAATCTCAAGTTAATGTCACACACTCATTGCCGTCTACAGTAGAATTCACAATCCAAACACTTGATTTCTTCTGGCAGTTTATGATGCCAAACAACACAAGGAACTGCCAGAAGAAAATGAAATAAAAAAAATCAGGTGTTGTTTGGCATCAGAATTGAGATGCACCTGTTCTAGAACTGTTAGGTGCAAACTCATCAAACCTTTCTGCTGAATTTATTTAGCTATTTGTGAGCAGCTGACAAGGTACCACAAAGCAGTAGGAGAGGTGTTATAGCTGAAATCAGTCTCAATATTAGAGTAACATTGTTTATTAGTCAAACTGCTTTACTTTGTTAATCTATGTAAGATTTTCCTATACAGCTTGAACTTTCTAAGGATGAAATAACATCTTTAGTAAAATGCATCATTAAAGGTACATCTGTCAAAATCTTTGGTGTTTTACGAAAAGACTGGCAACACCTTTACAATTAGACTTATATTTTAGGAAATTTTTGTATTTTTTTTTTCTAAAGAATGACAATTTACACCACAAAATTAATGAAAAAAGAATACTCATTCATCCAAAACTACTTTTTGGTATTGAATACTCATAACAAAATAAAAAAAGAATGCAACCATGTAGGAATACGTTATCTCTAAACTAAGTTCATAAGTCTAAGTTGAATGTTGATGAATTAAAAGACCTCAGTGATAGAGGTTTGTGATGTGAAAAAACATATATATACGAGAGGCGCTCGATAATAATAGAGATCTGTAATTTTTATCATAGGTGCACTTCAACTATGAGAGACAAAATGAGAAAATGTGATAGCCTGGATTTTTTTTCTCATGTTGTCTCTCATAGTTGAAGTGCACCTGTGATAAAAAATTACAGATCTCTATTATTATTCTAAGTAGTAGAACTTGCACAATCATATATATATATATATATATATATATATATATATATATATATATAGTCCGCATCTTGTCTGCTCCTAGTGCGCAGGCGGTGGATGTGCTGTCTGACTTCATTCAGATGACACCGTTTCAACCCACCTCCAGCCCCCCCTCCACCTTTGTAGCTTAAGCTTCATCAGGGTGTCATTCCTCAGGGAGTCTTACTGTGTTCCTTGTCTCATCTCAACCAGCCTGGCAGAAGACCGCTATTATGAGCCTGGTTCTACCAGAGGTTTCTTCCCAACAAGGAGTTTTTCCTCTCCACTGTCACTTCATGCTTCCTCATCATGGACAGGTTCTCCAACCTGTGTTATCCAACTGGACTTCCATCTTCCAGGTCCCTGAGTGAAGCTCTAGTATCAGCTCACGCAGTCCGATGGATCTCTCCATAAAGCTCAGCAGACCGTCTCTCTAATCAGCAGTCTTCAGACTGACCAACTTCATCTATTTCCACTCCACCACCAGTTTCAGGCCTGGGGGAAACAGCCCTATTCTTTGCTCCTGATCATGCATATCTATCAAAATTCAGCGCTATATTCCTGCCGAGGTCTGAGCGCCAAAGACAAAGTGATTGTATCAATAAATTTCTCCTAATTGTCTTTTCTCTTCATGTGAGTTTTTCAGATTGAAATGTATATCATGTGCAATTTATCAGAGCAAGTGATAAATGGTAAATGCTGTGTAAAACTAAGCTAAATTGGTTATTTATTGCTTAGATAAGATTGCTGTCACTAGGATAAAGACTAATAATGCAGGAGGGGGGGTATATAATTTAAATGAAATTAAATTAAATAAAGGAGCGTACACCAGATCAAACAGAGTGCTGTTCTTCTTTTCTTTTTCACATTATACATTCATAAGTTTTCTTCATATTTTGATTATGAACAGTTTCTTCTATAATTGTTGGTTCTATTTGTTGGTAAAAAGTCAAAAAAGTTTGTGAACCTCTGCTGTTTACTGGAATTCCAGGTTCAAATCCTGTGAGGTCAGCTCACCTTCTAATGAATAAAACCAATGATGCCTAGAAAATATACATTCTTTATTTTTTGATAACTACATTTAAATGGATACGAGTGGCTGCAATCTGCAGTTATACCACTAGATGTCCCTATTGTTCTTCTAAAAACTTTCCCTTTCTGATTTTCAAGCTAACAGTTTATGGTGGAAAGGGCAGAGTATCCTGTGGCTGGGTTGTAGTGAAAAACAACAAGGCATGTCCAAGGCCAGAACCCAGGACCTTCTTTCTACCACTTCTAACCACGGTGTTCAAATCAACCTTGAAGCAGGAGTTTTCTCTAAGTTTGGGCTCTAATTTGGGGGTTTTGGTTGTCAGTCAGGTGATGCAGGATGCTCTCCTGGCTTACCAGTGTGTGCTTGATGTAAGTAGGCTGCAGGTGGACTGAATAAATAGACCCTTTTATCAAGGACTAGATTATGTAATCTGTTCTGGTGCTACATACAGGTGCAGCAAGAATTTTCACATTAGATGGCAGCAACAGTAGCCATGAAAATTTTTTCCATTTTCCTTGATGGGCCCTTGGCTGGTCCTCAGTTGGTCCCCTACAATTCCTTTTTAGACATCATTCTTTGTACTGAAATATTCTTTCTGTCATGATTTATGGACAGTAAGATCTAAAGAGAAGCATCATCTCCTGGTCAGATCCTGTAATTCAGTGAAAGGGTGGAGTCAGAGTATAAAAATATGCAAGAGGAGGTCCAGTGGCTGGAAGTTGGAGGGGATTTTGCTGGGAGTTGCAGGGAAGTGGGCTGTCATCCGGCTGGCAAAGACTGGGAAGGGACATTTTTAATGACTGCTACTGTATGCTCCCATCACTTCTGTAGCTTTTGCTTTTACTGTAGTTCACATTCGTTTCTCTTTTTTTTTTGTGTGATACTCATTTCCAGTTAAAATCTTGTTCTATCTATAAAAAAAATAATTACAGGGTCTTAAACTGGCCTCAACCAGATCTTTCAAGGCCCAACAATATGAGGTGTAGACCAAGACTAGCAGAAAACTGTTTTGGTAAAAGTTAAACTTAAGGATAAAAAAGGTCAGAAAATGTTTAATTACAAATAGAAAAGTAAAAGTATTAAGTATATTTACAATAGTTCCTTTCCATTTGAACAAAGTTAACACAATAGCCATCTTGTAGAACAACATGCATCAATAACTGAGCTGTATGCCTGAGAAAACAAAAAAAGTAAGCCTTTTTCAGATTGTTTATTCAGTTACATTTAAAATAGTAAATTATGAAAATATAAAATCTGTCAAACCAAATGGAAAAAATTCTTTAAAAAAAAAATCTAAAATACTCTAGTCTGTCAAATTTTTTTTTAATATTACAATTTGAAAAATAAAGATGTGAAAAATAATCAGAGAAAGAAAAGTTCCACTAAACCCCTTTTTTTGTTGAAATGTTTTTCTTTTTCCAATTTCAATTTTTATTAATTATATTGTTTTTCAATTTTTCCTGTATGAAATCTGAAATTTTGTCTAATTTCTCTTTACAAAACATGTTCTTTGCTTGCAATAATGATGGAATAAAATTCCCTCCATTTATTTATAGTTGTGTATGTGGGTTTCTTGTGATGACATGTTAACTATCTAATACTGATGCTCTTTTTTATGTCCAACAGATTAAAGTAAACAGTCAGGTTCTGGTTCTTGCACAGGTGCATACACACCCCCACACATAGAGCGAACAGTTCCTCGAGCACAATTACAACGTGTGCCGTCATTCGGCCTCTTTGATGGTTGTCATGGAGATGTCATTGATAAGCTGGATGAAATTATTTTTCCTTTCTGAGCGGAACTATTGAAAGTCCTCCGTGTCTACTTTCACCATTAGCGAGCCTTTGCTGAATTAGAGTCCCTATAATGAAAAGACAAACCGGCGATGCAGCAGAGTTGGGTTGCTATAGTGCTTCACCTTGTGCGTTCATCTCTGTGAACCTTTCCTGTTTTGCCTCCCTGCAACTCTTCCCGAGCTGCTGCTGCTGCTGCTTCTGTGATGGATTAACCATTTCTTAGACCTGCCTGACAACAAGCCTTCTATCTCTCTCTTTCATCACTTTCTTTGTCCAAGGAGAGAAGTCAGTCTGCACAACCTTGACTGCTGTTGCTAGTGTCTCCTTTCACTTAGTGTGACACATACATACATCAACTCGTCAGTTGCCGCTCTGCACCAGGAGAGTGGATTTCTGACTGACTGAAAACTGGTGAGTGGGACACACACGAGTAGCTGTTATTCATGAACTTTACAACTTAATATACCTTTTCTCTTATATGGCTTAGTTATTCCCGGTGCCAAATTGTTGAACATATTACTGAAGGTGTTGTTCTTGCAGAGAAGCTATGATAATAATGTGGTATATTCTAGTTTTTTTCATGATTTCTAACAGAAGTATCTGCCGAATGGATATGGGAAAATAATCTGTATGCAGAAAAACACACATGGAGTTTGTCTGTTCCTCTGCAGTATAAATGTTAAGCTAATTATGATCTGGTGAAGTCATATTATTCATCTGCCTTGTGAGATCAAGGATAGGCAAATACTGTGTATGCTTTATAAGAGCAAAGAATGGCTGTAATCGTCACTATCTGTGGTGAAAAGTAAATATAAGGAAAAGCAAACAGGTGGCATTATGGTAGATTGCATGTTATATTTGGCAAACTTTGTGTTTTGCAATAAAAATATCTTGAGCTGTCCTCTGGGGTGTGACATAAGCATTTCACTCTGTATTTTTGTCTTTCTTATGTAATTTTAAAACAAGCTGTACCCATGTATTTTATACTAGTTTGTAGTTTTACACCTTCATATTATTTTTCTCCTAACCCTTTTCATGCTTCAATCATTTCTAAAGCATTTGGGATGGTATGGTAAAGGACTTGATGGGAATCAGGAGACATGACGAAGATGGAATGAACACATCTGCCTCGGATGGCTTTAGATAAATGGTTGAGGCCCACTTCTCAATGCATCTGATGCAGTAGTGTGCAAAGTCGTAAAATATGTGTGATTTCTTCTGTTTTTGCACAATCTGCTGATGTCAGTGGCGCAAGTGTTTTACGATATAAAAGTTGCATTCAGGCAAAAACATATTTATTTAAAAATCAAAACAGAGTTTCTTCAATTTAACTAACACTCACATCGTTGAATTAGACAAAATAAGTATTTAATTAAGTATTTTAATTTCAATTCAGTTTATTATACAAAGCCTATTCACAAAACATATCAAATCAAAGCACTTTACAAAGATTATTCAATTAAGTCACAGTCAGACAAAAAGGACAACACTGAGAAACAGGCAGAGCTCGAACAGCTATAAAAAAAATTTTCTACCTTTAGAAATTTTAGGAATCACTAGTAAACCTGCAGGCCAAGAGCAAAGTGCTCTGTTAGGAACCTAAGGAATGATCAAATTTCTTTGCCAATTAAAGTTTTATATGTGAGAAGGATGATTTTAAATTCTAAGAAGAGAAGCTAGGATAGGAGAGATGTGGCTGCAGCATTTTTTTTATCAGCAATATAAGATGAAAAAAGGCCTTATACAGTATGACTATGCCTGTTTTCGAAAATAGACATGCACACAGGAGAGTTTAAAGATGCTTAATCCCCTTATCTTGTTAGAGCTTTTTGATTTTGTGTGTCCAGTAGTGGATCAAACAACACAAAGTTCCTCCAAAATCTCTTTTTTATATTGTCTTTATATATAGTTTCAGAACCTACCCATTTAAAGGTGCATAATTATGTTATATGCCTATAAAAAAAAGACCAAAAACTATTTTTTGATTTTCCATTTGATCATGAAAAATGATTTTTGTTCTTTATTTCCACATTTTACTGGGATATGCTAAGTGGCTTAGCCACAGCAGGGTACTCCCCTGTTTCCCCACTGTGCACATGCTCAGTATGATCCTTTGTAATTTGAAATATAAAGAAAGGTCTCTATTTGCTAAGAAACGGAGCAAAATGAAGCATAAAATACACAAAAAAAAACAAATATACCAGTAGAATGTGGTAATCTTTCACAAAACACTTTTCATACAGACACACTGAGATAAAAATGTAACATGGACTTTTAAGGGCTATGATATTTTAAATATGTTGAGCTTTTTTTTTTTGTAAGGCACATTTACAACATTAATGTCCCAGTACAGCGAAGGCCCACGGCTGTATCGTGCCACACACACATTGTTTATCGCAGCCAAGGCCTGATAAAGCCCAGAGTGCAGAAAACAATAGCGACAATTAAAGTTCAGCCTTAGTGCTTTAATGAATGACTGACTTGTGCAGCCAAGCAACAGCAAAGGAAAGATTGAAGTGATGACCAAATAAGGAACATAATGATTAAAGTCGCACCACCTCCAGCTCTTCTGTTGAACACTGTGCAGGTGGTGTTTTGTACGCAGCTGTTGACAGAAACGTTTAGCATCTCATAGAAGCAGCAGGATGAAAGATTGACGTTTGTTAATATCCAAGTCAGTGTGCTAAGCTTAATGCCATCAACTCCAGTTCAAGAGAAGAAAAGCTGAAAAATCTGACATTATGTCCACCTCCAGGTCATTTAATGCCTGTACAGTGGCTTTAAATAGTATCCATTAAGGAGAAGATCAGGTTTTTGGGCTAATAAAAGATTATGATGAAAGCCTTAAACAATATTTCTGCTAGATTTAGCTTAGCTTAGGCAAAGCCAAACCAATCCAACATTACTTTCTGCTGAAGATATTATTGCATTTATTTACAAGTATTTATGGCCTCACTGTGAAGCTGAAAAGGAAACTTCTACATCTCCAGCTTTCAAGCAGACATGAAAAGATTTGGGAGCAAAACTAACTGAAGGTACAAATAACACATCCTAGATCTGAATGAATGAAATATACTCACTGAATACACATAAAATCATCAATGTATATCCCATTTATGAACTAATTGATTGTTGCATTTGGAGTCACACAAAACTAAAGTGCAAAAACACACTACAGGCTGCTCCAACTTTGATGTAATATCCTTAAAACAGATCATAATGAGGCTCAATAATGTGTTTGGCCTCCACATGCCTGTATGACCTCCCTAGAATGCCTGGCCAATTCTTTTACAGTTTGTAGTGCAATATGACATTGGTGGATGGATTGGAACATGTTGTCCCAAATTTGCTCAATCGGATTCAGGTCTGGGGAATGGACATGTCCGTCCATAGGTTAAATGCCTTCATCTTGCAGGAACTGTTGACACCTTCCAGCAACATGAGGTCTAGCATTGTCCTGCATTAGGATGAAACCAGGGCCAACCGCACCAGAATATGGTCTCACAAGGACTCGGAGGATCTCATCTTGGTACCTCATAACAATGATGCTACCTCTGTTGAGTACATAGAGGGCCGTGCCGCCCTCCAGAGAAATGCCACCCCACAACATTACTGACCCACTGCCAAAAGGATCATGCTGAAGGATGTTGCAGGTAGGAGATCGCTCTCCACTGTGTCTCCAGACTCTGTCAGGTCTGTCACATGTGCTCAGTGTGAACCTGCTATCATCTGTGAAGAGCACAGGGCGCAAGTGGTCAATTAGCCAAAGCTGGTGTTTTCTGGCAAATGTCAAGCATCCTGCATGATGTTGGGCTGTGAGCAAAACCCCCATCTGCGGCCCTTATTGAATCAGTTTCTAACCGTTTGTGCAGACACAAGCACATTTGTAGCCTACTGAAGGTCATTTTTCAGGGCTCTGGCAGTGCCCCTCCTGTTCCTCCTTGTACAAAGGCAGAGGCAGTGGTCCTGCTGCTGGGTCGTTGCCGTCCTACGGCCTCCTCCACATCTCCTGGTGTACTGACCTGTCTCCTGGTAGTGCCTCCGGCCACTGGACACTACGCTGACAGACACAGCAAACCTTCTTGCCACAGATCTGATTGATCCATCCTGGATGAGCTACACTACGATCCACTTGTGTGGATTAGAGTCTGTCTTGTGCTATCATGGACATGAAAGTAACACCATTTAAAATCTGACCAAAACAGCCAGAAAGCACAGGTACTGAGAAGTGGTCTGTGGTCCCCACCTGCAGAACCACTCCATGATTGAGTGTGCCTTGCTATTGTCAATAATTTCCACCTGTTGTCTATTCCATTTGCACAACAGCATGTAAAACTGTTTATCAGTCAGTATTGCTTCCCCTGTGGACAGTTTGATTTCACAGAATATCACTTTAATTGAAATTATATAGTTTTGTTTATGTGCTCCCTTTACTGTTTTTGAGCAGTGTAAGAAAAACATTGAATGAAATATTATGTTCTCATTACCTTTGCTTGACTGCAGGCATGCTGTTCTTTTGATTATGCACAGTTTTTTTCTATGCATGAAATTGCATTGGTTATTATGCCTCAGAGTTTTAGTTTGGTTCAATCACACCAGAGCACAATCTGCTAAAAACATAGTACTGCAGATGCTTTTTTAAAATCCCTTCACTGTGGCTGTAGATCTCACGATTCAATGTTTTCTATAAATATTACTGATTAGTTGGTATTTTCCTCTTTACTGGTATTGTTATACAATAAGGACTTTTAGAGTCTTTCTGACATCTTGGGAATCTAATGTTAAAATAAACATATTAAGTGAATTTTATTCCATTATTGCTGCAATTTAAAAAAACATTTGATAAGTGGAAATACAAAAAAAAAAATCAACCCAGAAAGGAAACTTTGCATGTAACTTAGCTTGAGAAGCGAAGATGCAATTCTGTTTGTCTGCACTGACATTAGCAGCAACGTTTTATTGGTCAAAAGTGAGTGTTTGTATTTGGCTTGAAGTGAAAAATATGATTTTGGAAAAAGAGAACAATTTGTAAAATTCAATCTGAAATAGAGAAAAGTGAAAAAATAAAATAAAATAATTAATAATAATAAATTAACTATACCAATTCTGAAACTAATACTGAAAATTTTTAATAAAAAAATAAAATGCAAATAATAATACAAAAATTTTTAAAAAACAGGGGGGAAAAAATGTTTCTCTCACCTTTTTTATAATAAAGTTTTTCAAAATTTTACTTTTGGATTGCATCTTTTTTCTTTACAAAACATGTTCTTTGCTCACAACTAAAAAATGGAACAAAATTCACTCCCTTTTCTGCAAAGGGCAGAAAAATCCTAGCATTGGTGAAGTATTTAGTAATACATTTTGGGTCAAAAATATACCACAACTATACGTAAACTTCTCATTGGATG